CCAGGTTCAAAAAGGTAATATACCCACAATATGAAATTTAATATGCCATGATACATTATGATATACCATAATTTACCATAATAGATTTTCATATTTTATAATATACTCAGAATACATTATGATATACCATAAGACATTATAATATGCAACAATGTATCATTATTTCATTTAATTATGATATATCAGAATTATACCATAATATGCTATAATATATTGTAATATACTACAAGTATCATATGGTAGCTTCTCGAACTCAAGAACCCATATGCATCCCGCAGAACCTCAGTTTAATCTTAACTGAAACCGTGGTTTCGAGACATGAGGGTTTCACAGCATTAGGGGTACCTCATTGGGGGTCCTCATAATAAGGATTATAGTGTTTTGGGCTCTATATTGGGGGCCCCTCAATTTGGGAAACTACCACATCCCCCAAATTATCCGATGTGTTAAGGTGACTGCCGTTCCCCGCATCACCATTGCTCAAAAGTTGCTGGCCTGAAATGATGGGGGGGGGCCGTGCGGTGTTGATTACATGGGCATACGCCAGATATCCAAGAATCCGAAGTAGGTAGATGTTCATAGACCTTACGGCCCCGGGGCCGAAGTAGGTGATCTTGATAGACTTGGAGAGCCACAGAAAAGAGAGTGTACATCTAGTATAATAGGGTATATTATAGTAGATGATGGTATATTTTAATTCAGTATCTAGGGATATCTACGACCCCAGCGGGTGTAGGCTTGAAGGTTGCGCGTTCACAATTCAGGGAGTGCGAGGGACATGGATGAATGTTTTTGGAGATTCTCTGTGTCACATGGAGATTGCATTGGTCTAAGGAGGGATGTGTGGCACTGTGGAAATTGGAAACACACAGCTGCCATCTTGTTTAGATGGCGTTTGGTGGTGTTTTTTCAGAGATTTTGAAAGGTAATGTGCGGCCCGATATATGCAGCAAGACATGTCTTTGCAACGGGGTCAGGACCTCTGTGATTTAGATTTTTCGGAGGTTAGAGGCAAAAGTGTCGAGGATGGGGGAGGGCCCGCAAGCGGGAACCCCGGCACACTAGACCCTCCAACTAGACCTTCAATCAGTAAGACAGCCCTAAACCCACAACCCTATACCAGCCTCTGCAGGTTTCGGGGGCCTTAGATCAGGGAGACTTGCAAGGGGGTGGTTACCAGGTGGGTGCCCCCTGTGAAGGCTTAAGCAGAGATGAGAGCGTTATACAGGCTTGTACACTAAGTGCGGTTTAGGGTTCAGGGTTTGGGGTGTAGGATTTGGTGCTCTTGCCTGTGTCACCCTCTCCCCAACATTGAAGCCCCCCCACCTCCCTGATACTAGATATTCTCGTGTAGTATACCACAATGAGTATTTCATATCAGGGGTGTGGAGAGGACTTTCAACAGCTGTGAGAGGGGTCTAACTTTTTCTTTACCAGAGCCCGCCGGAGGAAGGAATGTGGCATAACATCCCGAAAAGGAATCGGTGACCTTAGAAACCCTCCAACCCTTTATATATGCCCAGCTTCGATTTCACCATTGAACCGAGCAGTTCAACCCGCCCTAAACCCGGAACCCCAAGCCCTGAGCCCCAAATCCCAAGCCCTAAATCCCTAAATGCTCCCTTATATCATACATTGATGCTCTTTTTTTTTTTTACGCCTATATAAAACCCTAGGCCCTAAACCAGGATTTTTTACATATAGAATATAGTAGTTTTTCATTTTCCCTGTATTAAGGCCCAGAAAACATACCCAACCCCAGACCTTAAACCCTGAAACATTAAACCCCATAAGCCCTGAACCCTCACATAGCCCCTTTATAACTCCCCAAGACCTCCCTGACTCCAAGGCTAACCCTTACATATCCCCTTTTAACCCTATAATACTCGTAGTTTCCAGCTTCTTTTCCAATATCCCAAAACCCAAAACCCCAAACCCTAAACCCCCCACAACTCCCTGATTCCAAGGCCAACCCTTACATATCCCCTTTGTAACCCTATAGTAGTAGTTCTCCCTAAGCCCTAAACACCCACAACTCCGTGATTCCAAGGCTGGATGTGCTGAGCTCTCAGGCCAAAGTGGCTGGGCACCGGGCCGTCCTCGAAGCGGCACCCTGGGTGAATTTGGGGTTTAGGGTTTACGTAGGGCTTAGGATTTAGGATTATTCTAGTGTTTAGGATTTAGGGCTTCAGGTTTAGGATTTCAGGAGTCAGGGTTTAGGGCTTAGGGTTTAGGACTAGCCTTGAATGTAGGAATTATGGAGGATCATAAGAGCTCCTATAGGGTATTTAGGCCTATATCGCGACATTGGGGCGGGGTTCAGGGGTGCATTTAGGATTTAGGGGTCAGGGTTTAGGGATTATAGGGTTTCGGGAAGAATGGAGAATCTGAGGGAAAGGAAAAGTGGAACAGGAAATGACAACGGCATTCACGAAGTCTAGCGAAAGCTGTCTTAAGGTTTAAGGTTTACTTGCCTCTGTGTAGCCAGGAGTCATGGCATGATCCCCCTTTTCAATCTACAAGAATGTTGCAGGTTCCATCTTCTTTTCCATTCTTTCATTCCCTGTTAAGCAGAGGTACGCGCAGGGATTTTACAGGAGGGTTTAGTGGGTGTAGGGGTTTGGGGCATGTAACGTATAGAGTTGCAAAGTGTGCTTGGCAGCAGGAGGCAAGAAGCATGCAAGCATGACACCTGCGGTAGCTTCAGAAAACAGCCGTGCCGTCGCACCATGCAGGCTAAAGCTGGTGCCAAGACAACAACACGTGACAACTCCTCTTCCTCTTCCTCCTCCTCCTCCTTCTCGCTCCTCCTCCTCCTCCGCTGATGCTGTCGCTGCCCTGGTACTGCTACTGCTGATTCTATTGCTACTACTACAGATCCCAGCACCACTAATAATACTACTGCTGGTATGGGCTGGGTTGCCGTTAAGGAACTTTTCTTAAACGACTAAAATAAGCACCCCGAAGCCCCATGATCTACTATGTACCGTTATATACCCATAGTATGGCAACTTAAAAAAAAGTTCCTTAACAGCCACACCGTAGCTTGCGGCACTCGATTGCAAGGCCCATTCTTACCAGCGATTCCACACGGCTGAGATGACCGCAGCTGGCAACTTGAATCGAGATGGCTGGGCTGATGAGGCTTTAGGGGGATCATATAGGTAGGGATATACAGGGCTGTAGTTATAAGGTACAAGATTTAGGGTTTGCCCTAGCCCAAAACTAAGGTGGGACCTCCCAAAAACAGGCCTACCAAGACTGCAGTCCTTTCAAAGGGCGATGTCTGTGATTCCATGTGGTGAAGTTTAGGGGTGAAGGAGGGGCCTGACTTCAGTTTTTTGATAGTAAGAAGGTTCAGGAATGTCATGATTATTCATTTGGGCTTTGATGTTGAACCCTAAACCCTAAACCCCCTAAACCCTGTGGGCTTTGATGTTGAAGCAGGATTTTGGGGGTTTTTTACTGGACTCAGAGGTGCCAAAGTTGTGATAAACCTCTTCATGAGCCCGTCACTCCAAGGAGGTTCAGTTAAGGTTGAAACCCTGGGCCCCCTCAGTAACAGCTGGACAATACATATAATATAGTTATATATAGCCCTTAATAGGACCCCTAATATAGACTGTTACTGGGTGGGGGCGGTACCCAAGTTGAAACCATGGGCCCATAGTGTGGGCCCTTAATCCTGGGATCCTTGGATACCTACTACATACCCTATATGTACCCTTAAGGGTCCTTAGAATCCAGATAAAGGGGCTAAGGGTCCATATTAGGGGCCCATACTTCTAACCTTAAATCCCAAGGCAAGTATCCTAGAACCATTGGAAGAGCATGTACCTCTGGCCCCTTTAATGGACGATCCCTTTCCCAAAGCCCCGAGGCAAGTAATGATGAGTGATTCATTCAAAATGTCCGGTACGCCCCACCTAAAATCCTAAACCCTAAACCCTAAATCCAACACCCTGAACCCTAAACCCTAAATCCAAAACCTTAAACCCTGAACCCTAAATCTAAAACCCTAAACCCTAAATCCAAAGCCCTAAACCCTAAATCCTAAATCCCCAAACCCCAGAAACTCCATAGGCCAGCAAGGTAAGGATCTTCCGAACTACTCCCCAAACATTCTCGAAGTGTCCATTTCATTTTCCTTGGATACTTACTACATACCCTATGTGGGTATTGGTCTAAATTCCCTATAATACGGGGTCCTATATTTGGGTTCCCATTATAATACGGGGTCCTATATAAATTTCCCCCATTTTGGGAACAGTAATTTAGGGAAACTACCATATGTACCTTTAAGGGTCCTTAGAATCCAGATAAAGGGGCTAAGGGCCCATATTAGGGGCCCATACTTCTAACCTTAGTGTCCATTTCATGTTCCATTTCCTTATGCTCTAATATGGGAGTTTCCCAAAATTAGGGGTACCATTTGGAGGGTCCCTCTCCTAACGATTATAGCGTATTCGGGTCTATATTGGGATTCCCTCATTTTGGGAAACTACCATATACACATGTATATATGTGTATATGTCGCTCTCTCTTGCCTCTCTCGCTTGCTCGCCTTACCCCGACCCCCTAAAGGATCCAAAAAACGGAACCCCCGGAAAAGGCTCCATTACTACATTGGGGAAGCCAGGGGATTTTTGAGGGGTTCCATTTTTTGGGATCCTTTAGGGGGTCTGAGTCTGGGCCCTAAACCCTAAACCCTAGGACGTAAACCCTACACCTTAAACCCTACACCCTAAACCTTACACCCGAAACCCTAAGCTCTATCTACTTAAAGGGGACTAGAAGCCAGCAACCCCAAACCCCAAAACCCAAAACCCTAAACTCTATCTACTTAAAGGGGACTAGAAGCCCTAAACCCCAAAACCCAAAACCCCAAAAGAACCCCAATATAACCAACCCTACACCCTAAACCCTAAACTCTAAGCCCTACACCCTAAACCCTAAACCCTAAACTCTATCTACCTAAAGGGGACTCTAAAGCCAGCAAGGAAAGTATCCTCCAGCTCAGACGTTTGTCCTGGGCTGCGGCGTGGCGGGCCTCGCGGCCATTGGCACCTCCAAGGCGGTTCTGGGCCTGGGTGGTGTTAGGGGGCTTAGGGTTTAGGGCTTAGGGCTTAGGGTGGTTTAGGGTCTAGGGCTTAGGGTTTAGGGTCTAGGATTTAGGGTTTAGAGGGATAATCGAACATAAAATGGAAACTACTACATTACAATAAGGTTTATCTTGGCGTTATAATCGGCTTTAGGGGATATATTATATTGGGATTATATAGGGGCTATATTCCCTGTTTCGGCGGTTCACCCAGTCAGTATCAGTTGGATACTAAGTATGATATGGATACATATATATATATATGTTAATATGTAAAGATATATACATCTCTCTCCTTCCTGAAATACACACTATATTCAGATTGTTACTGGGTGGGGGCAGTACCCAACGCAAAGCCCCTAAACCCTAAGCTGCGATCATCCTGTGGAGCAGGCCCTGGGCTCTGTGGTACGTGCCTGGGACGTGCGCGACGTCTCGGATCAAGTTCACTCCATGGGCGCCAAGTGGGTGAAGGCGGGTTTAGGGTTGGGGTTTAGGGTACTCCCCCGATTCATTAACAGTTGGATAATATTTATACTATAGCTATAAAGGGCGCTTAATATGAACCCTACTGTAGCTTGCTCATGGGTGGGGACAGGACCCAAAGCTGTTGGTTAGGGTCTAGGCTTTGGTATTTTGAAGGGTTTTGTGTGGGGCGGGTATCCTTTGAAGCTGTATGGAGCCTCATTCAAAGGGGGTCCATAGCTAAGGCCTTTTTTTTTTGACCTCCCTACCATTTCCCGAAGGTCCCCAAAGCTCTCTTATGTGGAGCCCCGCTATACAGAGTCCTGTCAGTGTTTCCTCAATTATGAGGTCTAGGCTTGAGGGTTTTGATTTTTTGGGGTGGCGGTTTCGGGTGTTAGGTTTTGGGTATAGTGTACTCTTTTTCGGGTGTTTTGTTGCTATTCATTTCAACTGTTTTTTTCTGCCCAGTTTGTAGTATAGCTTCTATTAGTATGACTACCACTATCATTGATATTGTTCTATTGCCACGATTATTTTTGAGTTTAATGCTTTTTGGGCAAGTCAAGGTCCGGTCAGGTTTAGGGTTTCAGGGACTTACAGTCCTCCTCAGTTAGCTAGATTTCTGGCCTTTCCTACGTCTTTGTAGGGTTTACATTACCCATGGCCCGCACACTTTTCACTTGGGAGCGGAAGTGTCTTGCCCCACCCTGCTTGCGTTGGCCATGACACTGGGTTGCGGCTAAGTAGCTTAAAGTAAGTTACCATACTTGGTGTATGAATACATAAACATATGTATATATGAAGAGGTATATATATATATGTATATATACATGTCGTATCTATGGTTTCCCCTATATAGTAACTAAATTTAAGTTCCTCAGCAGCAACCCAGTAATCAGAGCATGCTCAGGTAGACTTCAAGGAGAGTGGCGAGGGAACTGGCGGTTATGCCAAAGAGTCCTCCGACGCCTTCAAGAAGGCCGGCCCGGTCTTGCCTGTCCAGGCGATCACATTCCTGGGCAGGCCCGTGGGATATTCAATATTTTTCCTCATGGCTTTAATAGGGGACGATATATAATTACCAACATTTTTCAATGGGTTTTAGGGGCCAACCTAGATTCAGGCTTAGGGTTTAGGGCACGCAACGATTTCTAGACCCCAGCGTAGATCTCTTTCTGAAGACCTAATACTGGTAATCGTTCCCCCCTGACCCAAATATTGAGAAGCCTACGTCTACGAACAACCTGTGTATTTTCATGTGGAGGGCTGTCAACATGTTAGTCCTTTTTTGGGGGGAATATAAATGCTAGGAGTCCTTGTTGTCTTGCTGAAAGATGCCTATATTATTTCATATCTTCTTAGGTCTTTGCATAGTCCCCAAACTGAAAATCTCAGGTGCAGCAAGAGACCTTCAAGGCTGTGCTGAAGGAGTGCGACATCGCCATCAGCACCGCAGCGATTCCGGGTCGGCCCAGTCCACTTCTGATCACCAAGGAGGGGATTATCGGGGTTGGGGGCTTTCCCCACAACATCGCGGGGCCTCTTTGAGATCATGATGTTTGGGGGCTACCGCCTGAAACTGTGGCTTTTCGGAAAGTATTCATGTAGGCATATAAGGCCAAAGGGTTGGAAAGCGTAGGATGTCACTGTAAAAATGGCTTCAAGTATCTGAAGCACTCCCCGCACCTCAAGCCCGAGGTTAAGGTTTAGGGTGTAGGGTTTAGGGTTTAGGGTTTAGGGTGTAGGGTTTAGGGGTTTAGGGGTTCAGGGGTTTAGGGCTGGGAAGCTTACCTATGATTAGTTCTACATCTTGGAATCCGTTTGGCACCCGTACGCGCAGGCTTTTCAATATCTCAACTGAACAGCTCAGGCTCCTGTTGGGGTCCTGTCCGAGTGAGATGAGGTGACCTAGTATTATCATTATTATCATTATTATCATTATTCTTGTTGTTATTAAATATATACCCCTATTGATTTGTCTGAAAGTCCGCACTTTCTCATAGGAGGCAGGAGGCTCCCAAACCCGAACACGGGATAGTCTCTGCACAGCCGTACCGCTGAACCCACGTGTCACAGCCACTTCTAGCTCATCCAGACAACCTGGCGGTAAAGAGAGCTGATTCAGATGGTACACGCCTTGCGTGCGATCGGAACCCCCAAGAGACACCTGGGGTTGTTCTAAAGGTCCTTGTAAAGAAGGGACCATTAGGAAACCACTTCTTTAAAAGGGGTTCCTAGTTGAACAGAGAACCTACATGATGGCCATGTTTGCGACAGGCATTTGAACAACTGTAGCCTAGGGGTCTCGGGTTTAGGGTTCGGAGCTTTCAGCTGTTATGATTGATAGTAGTTTTGTGTCGTCATATACCCGGATGCCTACTTCGGACGTTCAGGGTAAATAGCAAGTTGTACAAACTATAGCCATTTCAGGGGACTGCATGGTTGGGGTATACGTCCCGCTGCAATTGGGCGATGACTACCCTGTACCTGCAAATCTGTCATACACCTAACCCCTAAACCCTTCAGCCTATAAGCCCTGAACCCTATAACCCCTAAACCCTATAAAGCCCAAACTCGATTTGTTGGGGGCTATAAACCCTAAATCCTAAACCCTAAACCCTAAACCCGAAGCCCCAAACCCTGAATCCTAAACCCCAAACCCTAAACCCTAAACCCTCAACCCTAAGCCCCAAACCCTAAACCCCAAACCCCAAACCCTAACCCCAAACCCTAGTCCGGGAGGATGCCGTGGCCGTCATGAAGCCCGGCAGCGTCATCGTGGATCTGGCGGCCGTGGGCGGCGGCAATTGCGAGCTGACGAAGTTGCCAATCCTATCCTCCTTAAAGGGGTGTTAACGGTTATATAGGGGATTATATAGGGTAATATAGGGTTATATAGGGTTTAGGGCTTAGGGTTTAGGGCTTAGGGCTTAGGGTTTAGGGTTTTAGGGTTTAGGGTATGTGAGCTGTAGTCTAAACTCCTGAAAGGGGGTTTTATAAGCGGATTATGTAGGGGACTACCCTTGGGGTTGTTAAGGGGCATACTAGGAGTTTAGACTATAGCTTATCTGAATTTCAGGGACGTCAGGTTTGTTATTGCTTTTTGGGGGGCTTACTGGCTTTCGCGGCTTGAGGGCTTTTAGGCCTTGGGGTCTATTTAGGCCCGATTTTCGAGAGGGGTTAGAGAGGGGTTTGGAAGGTGGGGGATGTAGAGCTCTAGGGTTTGCCAGTTTGAGGGTCTAGGGCGGCTGCTGCCTGGCTGGAGCAGGTATTCTTCGTAAGTGAAGTGAAGTGTTATCAAGCGTTGGATATGCCAGCATCTATCACGCTATCAGGTGCCGTCCACCAACCGCAATGCATTAAGCTTGCAATTTGTTGCAAGCTTGCACTCTGCTTTAAGTTTTTGACTGACAACATCAGCGCGAGAAGTGTCCATCGGTGATTAGGCCGTTCCGCGCCGTGTAAACACTAAAGGCATGGCGTAGGCATGGAGTACTATAGACAAGACGGGCAGTATACATTCATGTTTTTGCCTACTCATGCGTCCAGCATCTCCTTGAGCTTGGTTCAAGTCAGTTTTTGGATGCCAGACGCGAGAAAAGCCAATTGAACTGCTTCAGAATCTTGCTGTCATCATCCCTTCACTGCCCTGACACACACACATGCCATGTTGCGTGGCCTTCTGGCTGACATGCTCCATACGCAGCGCATAGCTTGGAACCATTATGTCAATTATGTCCCTATAATGATTTAGTAGGTGGTTTTGGAATATCTAAGGTTGAAGCCATGGGCCCCTAGTTTGGGCCCTCAACCCTGGGATCCTTATATACCTACTTAATACCCTATGTATACCCTTAAGGCTTCCTAAACTGGGTGGTTGTTAAGGAACTTAAGTTGAAATCCAATAACTTAACTTAAGTTCCTTTAACAGCAACCCAGTAAACTCTCCCAAAAGACCTAGAGAGAATGTCGTCCAGGGTTTGGGTAAAATCGCCGAGGTTGAACGAGACCATCATCACTGAGAGCCGTGGTTCGCAGGGTTTAAGGGTTTAAGGGTTTAGGGTTTTGGGTTTAGGGTTTAGGGTTTAGGGTTGAGGGTTTAGGTTGAGGGTTTTGGGTTTAGGGTTTAGGTTGAGGCTTTGGGGTTTAGGGTTTATGGCAGTTGACACTGGCAGCTGCAGAAGTAGGGAGAGCCTAATATCAACCCCGAACTACTATAATCCTTATTATAGGCACCCCCCAACAAGGGCGTTCTGATTGCTGGAAATCCACAGAAAATAGTGTTTTCTCAAAAAACGGGGTTTTAGGGATCCTAAGGATGAATATGGATGATAACGCAGATTATGAAGGTGCTGATCAGGAATTCTGTAAGATTGTTTAGGGTTTAGGGTTTAGGGTTTAGAGTTGTTGATGAGGTTTTTGAGAAAGCCTCAGATGTCAGGATGACTGGAATCTAAACTGTCTTGGTTGTCCTTTGGGATCTTTTGATTTTCCCTATTATGCTGAAGAGAGCCATAATACTAAATGTGGCTTAAAGGACAAGCCGGTGGTGTTATGACAAGGACATGGGGGGTTTTCGAATTATAGTCCCCCTTAAGTAGATAGAATATGAGGTGTATGGGGATCTTTTAATGTTATACCCAAAGCCATATTCTATCTACTTAAGGGAGACTGTAGGGGGGTGATCTCTGTTATAGCGTCCCTAGGAGAAGGTTTATATGTACTGTTGGTTATAAGTCAGCTTTCAGTCTCCGATGTTGGAACCTTCTTGCAATCATCTAAAGCCTAAACCCTAAACCCCTATCATATCCCTGCGTCCTAGAGGTGATGACATGGTCCGGTGGCTGTTCCACATATAGAGTGCAGAGAGTGTTGTTGTTTTTTTTTGTGGTGGTACATTCTCCTTGGCGGGCCGCATATAAAACCAACGCGGACAAACCCGCAACCTGCGAAACACTCATGTTGCTCACTATTGCTGTTGTAAGAGCTTGCATGACAGCGCCTGGGATGTGCGCTGCCTGCATGTCTTCGTACGTATACACCGACACACTCACATGGAAAGAACTTGAAAAGGATACACACTACAAAGTACAAAGGTACAAAGGTTCCCTTCGTTTCCAGCAAAACCTTTATTGGGTTCCATGTCAGTTTGGGGGGAGGGTAGACCAACAGCAGTTGTGAAGGAATGGAGTCACAATCATTGGCTATGCCAACCTCCCTGCACGGATGCCGGAGCAGGCGGTCATAAACATGAGGGAACCAAATTAAACCATTCATACTACGCCCAAACATCCGCCACCCCTGATATCAAATCTGTTTAATATCTCACGTCTCTTGTGGGGAAGTTTGCGAATTCGGGGTTGGGGGGTGTTTAGTAACAGTATGAAGGGTTGAGATTGGTTCAAGCAAGGTTCCAGTATGTTACATTGCAGCTAGATAAAGGTTGCAAGGGGATGCAGTATTACATTGTCATATATTTTCATAACTTGCAGGGTATACTACATTGTGAATATCTATGTGTGGAAATCGGGTAGTATGCCTCATTGCCTCATCATCTAGACTGCTTCCTGCAGGCCTTATTTAAAACGGAAGTCGAGGCTTATGCTTATGATTACTGAAGTGTGTGCTCAAACAATTCGCAGGGCTTTGGGGTCTACTATGCGTACTCTAATGACATGAGCATATAAAAGAGACAGAATTGCGATTATTCAGGCTTTGGCCACAAACAAATTCCTGCGTTCTCGCCCAAGGCTTCCATCTCGTAGAAGTAATTCTTCACTGCCTCACCCTCCAGGGGGTTTAGGCTTTAGGGTTTAGGGAGGGTTTAGGGTTTAGGGTTTAGGGTTTAGGGTTGGACCTCTCCAGATCCCTTTCCTTCAAGTATGGGAGGACTGATGTCTTCGTAATCCAGAATAGAAGCAGGATGGTCATTTCTCAACAGCCCGCCCCGCCCCAGACCTTACAGCCTAAACAGACAAAAGGGCATGCCGGGCGCGACTTGAATTTGATCCAAACACAACCAGTATTGTGGTAGCGATTTCTTGGGTCCAACCAGATTACTAAGCTTAATGCCAGATTATGGTAAAAGCCTGACGATTCCACCAATGCGCCTCCAGAATCCTTTGCCCATGTACAGCCAACCATTGGAAGCACATGGCAAGCCCAAAAACCAACAGCCCGAAACCTTGTTTTTGAAGGGCATCTGCAGACATCGACTCTATTTGAACCATAGTCTAAACTCCTTAAAGGGGGTTATATATAGGGGGATTATATAGGGGACTACTGTAGGGGTTATTAAGGGGGATACTAGGAGTTTAGACTATAGCTCATTTGTGAAATGGCTGCACATACCACCCTCTAAGTCCTCCATGGAGGTCTTAGAGGCCCATGAGTAGTTCCAAACTGGTTGTTGAAGTAGGATAGCTGTTTCAGTGCCACTCATATCCTATTTGAGACATTTCTGGGCACGAATAACGGTAAAAGTATTACAGTATCAATAGTAGCAATACTAACAATGTTTCATAGCAATACAATCAATACCAATAAGCTAGACATCAACTTCAAAATGCTTCACGAGGCCAGCGCCATGTACGCCCAGAACATGGCAAACTTGCTGAAGCACATCCACGACAAAGGCACCGACCCTGAGCCCTAAACCCTCAGCCCTAACCCTTAAACCAGTCAGGGGCAAGCCAAGCCTGAAGAACTCGTTGGTGTACGGGGGACTGTGGTGTAGGGCCTGTCTAGGGCTTAGGGCTTAGGGTTCAGGGTATAGGCTTTAGGGTTCAGGGTTTAGGGCTTAGGGTTAATAGTTTCTTGTTTTTTTTTGCTTGAAATACATTAGGACTTCAAGGTAGCCTTACATCAGGGAGGATCCATTGCAGCAAACTTGGCTTCGGCAAGACTCTGATTGGAAGCAACTGGACCTGTGTGTATAGGCTTGTGGATATGGACTCATGTCTTCCCCTGAGCGTTGTAGACCCTACACCCTAAACATTAATGTAGAAGGCGCAACAACTGCCAATGTTATGTTTCAAGGTTTCTTATGTAGTAGCTCTGGTATACGGTACCTCAAATAGATCTCGAGATGGTATTGGTAGTTCTACAGGAAACAATCCCTGCATATCATCCTGTGTTCATGCAGTTCCCATGTCATTTTTCATGTTCTTGTCCATTTGATTCTCAATTATTGGCACCATAGCCCTTTATGACCTCTCTAAACTTTACATGCGCGCAATGTGGCTCTGTAGCAGCACAGCGTTACCGTACCTCGCTACTTTAGTGCATCCTTAGAACCCCTACACCCCCGCTTAAAATTGGCAAAGCAACCCAACCCAACCCTTCAAACTCCAACCCAAATGCCCCCTAAGCCCTCAAATTCCAAAACCTTGAAGCCCTAAAGCCTGAAAACCGTGAACACCTAAAACCCCAAACCCCCAAAAAGCTAATACTTAAACCTCCAAAGCACAAAAAGATACCTGAAACCTGAAAGGCTCCCCAGAGCCTAAAACTCTTCCTGGGTCATTGTCGGATGCCTTCTAGTGGTCTTATTACACTATAATAATGTATAGTCCCACTTAAGTAGATAGAATATGGGGTGTATGGGGATCTTATTATAGTATACCCAAAACCATATTGTATCTACTTGAGGGGGACTATACCCCAGTAAGGTATGTAGACGTATGCACATGTAGAGCCAACCTTGACACCTGGCGCTTCATGGTTTGTTTCCTACACTCTTGAGATGATGTGTCAAAAACAGCACGACATGTACACACTGGCAGTTACATGTTGAATAGTATCTTCCTAAGCCCTGATCTTA